TTATTTAATCCATTCTGACATGGAAAATATTGAACACTACCATTTTCAGCCACTAGAGGGCCCTCGCGTAATATGGCAAGCAAAGTGTCCCATTAATAGGTAACGGCGGCTAATAATGAGACACTTGACTTGCCATAACAAGCCATCTTCGTCTCGCTCCAGAACTCCTGGAGCAAACGTCAAATCAGCTGCATTTCACCGTGCCACCCAGTGCAGCTGATTTGACCATTAAACTGCATTTATTAAGGAAAGTTCAACTGTGACACACCTTTGCTGTAATTTCAAGCAAACAAATAATTGTTTTTGGGTTGTTATCTAGTCATATTTCGAAGAAATGCACAGCGAGGCATCCCTCTGCGCGTTCCCGCAGCCGCGGATTGGCTTTTGAAATGCAGCTGATTTGACCGTCAAAGTGCATTTATTAAGGAAAAGTTAAACTGAGACACACCTTTGATATAGTTTCAAACAAACAATTAATTTAAAGTGATAATCTTGTTAAATTCTTGTTAAAGTCTTCCCGTGCACGCTCCCACGGCCGCCATTTGGCAGTCAATCAATTTTTGATACAACACCGGCCCACGTTTCCAGGTGACCAATGATGATGCATAACAAACATGATGCATAGATACGACGTATAAGGCGAAGCTACGGATTTATGTTTTTTCTCACTTTATTAGACATATTTGGACTGATGCGACTTAAACGGTGGTGCGACGTTTACGCTGGCAAGTACGGTACTTGAAGGAAATTTAGCCACACTAAAACATTCAGGCCTCAAAGGTTGGACCAGGAAACACTGTATATCCACCCACCCATTCTCTTTTACCTGCTTTTTCCTTTTTGGGTCACAGGGGTCATTGGTGCTCATATCCAGCAGTCACTATATGAGAAGCCGGGGAAACCCTGGACAGGTCTCCAATCCATCACAGGGACACATAGAGACAAATGAGACAAACAACCATTCACTCTCTCACTCACACCTGGGGACAATTTAGAGTTACCAATCAGCCTAACATGCAAGTTGTTGGTCTGTGGGAGGAAATCGGAGTACTGTACCCAGAGAAAACCCACGCATGCACAGTGAGACATGCAAACTCCACCCAGAAAAGTCTCCGGCCGGGATTTGATCCAGCAACCTTCTCACTGAGAGGCAACAGCTCCACCACCGTGCCGCCAAGTAACATTGTGTCATATAAAACAAATTACAATGAAAAGACACTATAAATTTCTTCTAATTGTGCAGATCTGTGGTCCTCTGTCACCCTTCCCACTGTACTATAACATAATTGCTTCTGCCAAACAATGTGTGGCAGCACACCCTTCACCCTTTCAAAGCTGCAGAGGGAACTGCAAGACCGTGATCACATAACATGGATCTCACCCAGAGGCAGCAGCAGGTTTGAAGAGGCAAAGTGCTGCTGACACAGCAACTCATCCCACTGAAAGATGTTTAATGACCATTTATAAGATCAAAAACTGTCAGTGCAGAGAGACATGCTACAATAGAGATGCCAATACATGAGCAGATGAGTCCTTATAGACTCATTTGTTCACATTCACAGACTCACCCATTCATATTAATACTATTCTGGGACTGATATTCATGCATTTGAGTAATAAAACTCCCCGAGTTGGTTTGAAAACCTTAGAATAGTGCAGTGATGTTAAAAAGTCCACAGAGACTGCAGAAGTTCAGGAAGGTCAAAGGGTCAAACCAGCAGAGCAACTCTGGTCCAGTTTGAAGACGTGGAAGCTTGACTCAGCAGAATATTGAAGTAAAAGCCTCTGGTACAGATGAATTCATTAACTTGGTCTTATATGTTGCTATTTTTATCCTTCCTATAGAAGCCTTGCAATACTCACATGCCATGATCAGGTGGTAAATGAGGACAAAAGAGACGAAGCATACATACATACAAAAGGGAAGAGTTGCAGAAACTGAGCTAAAAGGCAAGCAGATTTATAGCCCAACGTGAATATTTGTGGTATAAATTTTGACATTAGGATGCCTCATTAATCTGCACGCATCTTGTCCACCCACGGTTTCCACACTTACAGCTTGTGGGTGAAAAACGCATCGAGCCACACATGCTGCCACTTTGTAATATTTGCATTCACTCATTTTGTGGATAGACGATATCAAGGCATGTTTTTACTCTCCAAGGTAAAATACAAGTAAGACATGTTCAAATGTTTCCCCAAAGCAGCATTTTATTGTCAACCTATTTTTTTTTTGAAGCACCTTATTTTATCTCCTGCCTCTTCGTCCTTAAAGAACAAATCTTTGATCGGTCAGGTGGTAACCGATTGGCTTGATATTGCCAGCCTCTTTCATCAACAGGCCATATGCATATGTGCGGTGTGACGTACACAGTAACAAGTATGAGGTACAGTAGTCCCTCGCTACTTTGAGGTTTGACTTTTGCAGACTCGCTCTTTCTCAATTTTTCAAAGTAAGATTGTACACAACTACAAAAAAAAAAAGAAGATTGTACGCAACACACGATTGTCAAATTTAATATTACTCATGTGGTTGTGACAATATGGGATACAGTAAAAAGTTAATGAAAAAATACTTCGGACAGGTGCTGCCATTTTGTAGTTTTCTCTGAATAAGCTGTAGCGCCAGTCAAAAGGACTACATTTCCCAGAAGCCAACAGTGCTTCTGGCCGTTACTTTCTGCTGAAACGGAGGGAAAGTTTTGATCTGATCCAAAAAAGTTTGGTCCTTATTCATAGTGATTTTGGCGCTCAGCGGATGCAGAGAGCTGTACGGAACCGACAGGGAAATAGACCAGAACCAAACTTCCAGCCTCATCGGTCAATCCGAGTGCTCCTTGTCCGTACATGAGGCCTATCCAGTGGAGGTGTTGCTTGGAGGTCCGGTGTTTTTTCTAGACATCACTGGGATTAATTTTTATCCGGATCCCTCTGGATTTCAGTATTTGGACTCCATCAGGACCATTGTGTGGTTTTGTGCTGGCTATCCAAAGGTCCAGCTCTCTCTAAAAGCATCTTGGTGCTCAACGGCTGCACAGAGCTGATCAGAACCGGATCAGAACAGGATCGAGGCTGTTGTGTACCCATATAAAATTTTTGCAGTACAATACATAGCTACTATGCAGTGCATATACAGTACATATGTTGTTAAAATACGTAGGTTTAAGAGTTTAGAACATTGCAAGAGTGTGTGAAGGGTTTCTAAAGCCTTTCTACATATATACTGTATATCTATCTATATATATCTATATAGATATATATAGATATATATACATACATACATATATACATACATACACTAAATAAATAACAACCATTGCAGTTTTTCACTTATTGCGGGGAGTCTGGAACATAACACCTGTGATAAACGAGGGACTTAGCATTTTTTCAGAAAACATCTGAAAAAAGAATGCTGCATAGACTGGTCTGTCTATGCTCCAACCCTCACCTGTTAAAATGAGGTATTGATCATAACGAGATAAAAAAAATCCTGGGTACAAGTGCACTGAAATGGGCTTCCTCTGCAGGATGGAGCTCTGCTATCTATATCCCTCAGATATGAGGAGCTCCATCATCCGGGGGGAGCTTGAAGTTGAGCAGCAGCTCCTCTGAACCAAAAGGAGTTTGTTGAGGTGTTTAGGGTTAAGATGTCTCCTGGTTGCCTCCCTCTGGAGGCACGTCCCACTGGGATGGGAGGAGCTGGAGAGTGTTGCTCAGGAAAGGATGGCTGGGTTTCTCTCCTGGACCCGTTGCCTCCACAACCCATGAAAAGGTAGCAAAGAACGATAAATGGATGAATGGAAAATTTAAAAAAAAAATCACATTCTTCAAGCCAGGTGATTCACTGAGCTTGAAAGGCTTAGACTCATTCTATTGTTCCTCACATCCCCAAAACATGTTCAACAATATAAAGGCCACCTCAGACCTGTGTCTTCCTCTGATCAGAAGATCCAGGTTTTTGCCATAAACATTTCACTTGCAGTAAAGTCATGAAAACTTTGATTTGAAAGTACATGGATGACCTAACGGAGAATGTTGAATATGTTCAAATAAGAATGCATGAGTGAATTCAGTCAACCACAACAACAAATATCATATTATCTCTGGAAAATGAAGATCTAACCTGCATACAATGAGTCTTAAAAAAACGGAATTAAGATGTAATGAAAGCAGAAACACAGTTTGCAAGGTGTGCCCTTCCTTCTGAGAGCATGCCACAACCTTGTAGTAGTAATGACCCACTCCTGCTCCTAATCCCCCACAGCTGAGCAGAAAACACCTTCTGGCCAAGTGCTGCTTGACAAGCTGCTCTCCCTGAAGGCAGGAGGAAGGCGGGGCGGATAAACCCAGTGGACCTGTGTGAAAGGTCACAAAACATTTATTCCTGGAGCATCTCAGAGCCACTTAGATCTGGGACAAGCACAGAGGGACTCGAAAGCTTTTCACATAAACGCCTGAATCTGGCTCTTCCCAGGAAGCCAAATGAAGATAAACCCCTCAGATCACGACTTGATAACCCAGAGGTGTTTTCCTCCTCACAGCTGACTTTAATGCGGAATGAAAACATTGCGCTTCTTCCCCATCACGTCGCATCCAACTGAATCGCTTGACAGGTTTCGAGGTAAACCCAACCACAGGACGAGGCCTGGGTATCATTTAGTCACGACCCCAGACAAAGGGGGTCGTGTCGGCCTGTGTTTGCAGCGATTGTCTATTTTTAATGTCTCGCCGTGGGCAGGTTGGAGATGCTGGGGCAATGCGCCTACACGCTGCCTCTGCGGTGGATGTTACGCATAGGAACACGGAGGGCGTTTTTAACCACGGGGGGGGGGGCTCTTGCTGTGCCCCTGGATCATCAGCGATCACACATAAATATTTATATGTGGACATGCATGCCAATTAAATTCGATTTCATTGTCATCCCATAACGGGGCCACAAGGGGAGGTCCCTAATTTGACTTGGCCCGGCGAGAATTGCGCACTGAAAGCGTTTGTCTTACCTCCCCACCGTCTGGTTGGCGAGCTGTCGCATCCGGTTGAATTGCTTCTTCATCTTGTATTTTCTGCGTTAACACCTACGAGGGGGGGATATTCCGCATTACTACTTCTCTCAACGCATCGGTCTGTCCTCCAAAGAGGCGCAGCACAGAATCCAGGCTCTCGTCATGTTCCGTCATTGCAAAGCAGCGACCCGCAACAAAAAAGAGCAGCAACTTTTCCTCCCACGATTACATCTTTTCACGGGATATGTGCGTGTTTTGTGCGCGTTTAGGTGGCCCTGCTGTCTGCGCAGGGATGCTGGAGCGATTCACGGCGGGCACACACGCAGACAGAGCCACAGCAGCGACAAGAAGCGGCTGCGCAGCGGTGCAATGTGGGAAATGTAGTCCATTCCCGCTCATGACTCTAAATGAGCCGCAGACAGTGTTTTGACATGCTTTTAGTTATGACATTTAAATTTAGAATCATGTTGTGGTGTACTGTTTATGCTTAAACACAAATAAAATTCAACTGAAATAAATATAATAAAGAAAAACAATCGTAATTTCTTTGCTGAGTCAACCGAACACACCCATCTAGTGGCACTTAAGTGCTAATACAGTTTGGATCACAGAAAAAAGAAACAAATAAATAAACCAAAAGGCTTTTCTGTGCTTGTTTTCAAACACTTGATGATGAATACTAAATTGTGTTCTGTGTTCTCTTGATCCTGACTAGATTCTCAGTCCCTGCTGCTGAAAATCATCCCCACAGCATGATGCTGCCACCCCCATGCTCCACAGTAGGAACGGTACTGGCCAGGTGATATATGGTGCCTGGTTTCCTCCAGGCGTGATGCTTGGCATTCAGTACATAAAGTTCAATCTTTGTTTTATAAGACCAGAGTTTTGTGTTGCTGCTGGTTCGAGAGTACTTCGGCAAAGTCCAGGCGGGTTGTCATGAACCTTTTACTGGGAGTGGCTTCCATCTGAACTCTCTACCATGAAAGCATGATTAGTGGAGTGCTGAAGAAATGTCCTTCTGGGATGTTCTCCTCTGCTGGAGCACTTTCAGAGTCACCATCTGGTCTTTGGTCACCTCAGTCCTTTCTTCCTGACTGCTCCGACTGGTGGGCAGCCAGGTTTAGGAATAGATTTTATAATTAAAACTTCATCAATTTCTGTATGATATACACTCATTGGGACTTCCAGTGCTGCAGAAATGTTTCAATTCACAAATCTGTGCCATGATACAGTTTTGTCTCTGAAGTCTACAGACAATTCTTCAGACTTCATGGCTTGGTTTGTGTTTTGACGTGTCACCCATGGGACCTCAGAAGTATGTGCTTGTCTAAATCAAGTCCAGTTTACTGAATGTGGAATCCACATCTGAGGGATGATCAGCACATGAGCTCAGTTTTAAGTGATTTGGCAATGAGTAGTTTCATATATGTTATTTTTTTTTCTTTATTTAAAGAAATTAACAAAAAATTAAACCAAACATTTTCACTTTTTCATTATGGCTATTTGGTGCAGAATATTTAGGGGAAATGAATTTGATATATTTTTAAGTGGAACACGCATAAACGCTCTGACTTTCAGGATACACTGACTATTCTTTCAGTTGTCACATTTTTGGTTGGCCATGAACATCTGACTGAAAATAACTGAAACCATTTAAAATGACAAAGACCTTTAGCCTTTTTTTTTTTTCCACCACTGATAAACAAGTTTATGTTGTGAACTTGTGACTTTATTTATTTTTAATTTGTGATTTTCTGCTGCTTGTAGATAAACTGTCCAACAGGGAGCAGTCTTGTCTCACAAAGTGCATTCTTGGTTGCAGCATCAACTTCATTATTTGGCCTTTAATAAAAATATACTCTAACAGTTTACATGCTCTAATATTATGAGTGATAAAATATCACAAGAACACATTTTAACATAAAAGCAAAATGTCTCGAATAGTAATATATGTATTTATATATATATATATATATATATATATATATATATATATATATATATAAGCTAAGCATATCCTCATCTTGTAATTTATTTTCCACCTAAACTTCTAACGCGTATCATGGACTTGTGACCTGTCCAGGGTGCACCCCACCTCTCACACAGTGACTGCAGGCACCGGCTCCCAAGCAAACAGGAACAGAGAAGCCAATATAGATAACGAATAGATGGATGAATGGTCTCAGTATGAATTGGTCAGTAAAGTCTAAATAATTGACATAACAATAGTAATTTATGATGATTTTATTAGTTTTAGTGGGAGAAACATAAATCTGTGATGTGGTAATTTTTATATTTTTTTTACAGTAAAGCTTAATCAATCATATTTATTACTATAGATGTCAACCAAAATATCATAATTTACAGGATTTTTCTTGTTCTAAGTTTATCTGTTGGGTTATAGTCCAATAAGCCCTTTAATATTTCACTTATGGCAACCAAACTTTCTAAAGTCAGTGAAGAGATTGATCTTGAAAATATATTTTTCTTTCTTTGTCTTCTGCACCCTTCATCCTGTCAGGAGAGCTGGACTCAGGACGCTAAAGGAGCATTTTGCCCAGAACCTCTTTGACAGAATATGCTGTTGTCTGTTCTGTGAACTGGTCAGAGACTTTACAAACCCCCTTCAGAGGGGCATGCCCTTTGGTTCAGTGTCATGAGTCTTTAATGGGCCAACAGGTGGGCTGCACACTGCTGCCATAAGGTTGAGCGGCCTCGGGGGGGTAAACGATACAGAGAAATGACTGTTTCTGCCTTCATTAATCTCCTACGTTGGAAATTGAGAGGGGCAGGGGGATCCTTCAGCCTTGATCTCAACCTTCCGACCCTGTCAGATCATTTGTTTTCATTAGTCCCCACTCAGATGGACTGACCAGTTCCAGCCCAGACCCCCACCCTGTCCCCTTAAGCAGGGAGGATTTCTGCAAATATCTCCAGGGGCCTCCTTCTGAACACAGAATCTAGAGGTCCAGATTGTCTCTGGACACTTTCAAATCATCACGAGGAAGTCTTCACATCTCCTTCCCATCACTTGAAAAACTGTGCATGTGTATATCTCCTTGTGTACAAATACAGGAAGTGGGAAGATAAAATTAAACAACAAGGGAAATGTTGGAAGTTCTTCAACACAGAGAACTCCCAGGTTCCTAATCAGTTTGCCATAAACATCAACCCACAAAAGGAAAAAACACTTTTTAACAACAATTCTTAATCTGGTCTCCCACATTTCCTGTCACTTGATGGGATAAGTGTTCTTCCTTGTAATCTAATGGTTCTTTACTTGGCAGCCGGGGACTAATCGGATCCCAGTTCAACTAATGAAGCTTTCTCTCAGGTTCTAGCCTCTCCTCCTGATGGCCCACTGCTGTTAATGATACATGGACCGCTCAGTGACCTGCAGACCTGCCTTTGTGTGTTTCCAGAGGCCTTCTGCAGAGCAGTGAAGCTGTTGCATGCAGTCGTCAGAAGGGTTTGGTTTTGCTGGAGACAAAGTGTTGGTGCTTGTTGGTTTTTGCACTAAACAAACAAAGGAAGGGTGTTGGGAAGGGTATAATAGCATGTTATGAGCTCAGGTTAAAAGCTGCCCAGTCAACAGAGCTAAGATTAGTGGGGTCGGTCACGTCACGCTTGTGTTTTATCTTCAGACATGTGGCATTGCATTACGCAGATCAGTCAGTTCAGGTGTGTCATGTGGGCTGTGAAAAGCCTTTGGTCTGCCATTAAGCAAAAGCGTGACATATTAATCAAGGAGTGCACAAGTGAGCGGGCAGACCTCTTATATGCTTAGCAAAAACAGTTCTTGAACTTCTTGTTTTCCAAGGACAGTTGTGGAAACTCAAGGTTCAACCAAACGCATCGTCACCAACAACCGTTCAGGTGCGCACTGGGGCCAGACACTGCGGTGCATCTTTACAGGACGTTCTGGGACAATAAAAAAGCCTCAGCAAGCCCTAATGAAAACACTGCAACATCTGAGGGGCAGCGGCATTACAGGTCTGAACTGCGGGGGCTGTTTTAACATGCATCAAATGACACAAAATGATGGTTATCACAAACGCCTTTCAGACACTAAATGCAGCTCTGCTGGCCTTGACTTTAAAGACCCACTGAGCTCTAAACACGCAGGGTGCTGGGACTGACACCACGACGTGCATCTAGAAGTAAAACAAGACATAAAAGTGATAAATAAATATAATGCCTTGGATTTAAAAAAAGACATGACATTGATTTTAACACCAAAAGCTTCTATTTATATTTAAAGGTGTGGACTTGAACATGACAGGTTGAAGCTAGCATATACAGCAGCTATCGAGGTGTTACCTTTCACAGCACATCGTTTAGATTCCAGATACACTTATACTGCAGGGCAGAATAACGGTGCCAGAGTTATGATTCTTTTTAATCTTACACAATTTTTTTTTATCTAATATGTTAAATCTTTGACGAACCATTCAATAGGAGCACTGAAGTGTGACGATAAGGTACCAAAAAGATTAAAAAAATAAAGGTTTAGGTAATAAAAACAAACATTTCAGTGGGTTTTACATCACCTTTATTGCTTGGGTCTATCAAGTTTTTATAGGTTTAGAAAGAACTTAGTTCTACATTTTCTTCAAGGAGCTCAGACTGTTGTGGACTGCTGTTGGGAAATGGTTTTACATTAATGAACTGGATTGAACTGAACTGTGATGTAGACACAATGATCGAGATCAAGTCATTTACTGTCACGCTGCTTGTTTAATCCTACGCAGCGTATTTACCATGATGAAACCTCATACCGTCCAAGTTTCAAGTGATTCAAGTGACAGTCATGACTGCCTACAGGGATTTGATTGTTTTTTTCACCACACATATTATCATAAAAAGCCCAGGTAGTATTTCATCACAGTGACAGGTATTTGCCTGCAGCTAACTTACTGCTGCATAAAGATTTGGTATAATACTATGTTCCTGGCATGCTACTGTGCCCTGTTTTTAAAGCCAATTCAGAAACTGTTTGTGAAGGTGTGGTGAGCTGAGATTGAAGAGTTGGAAGGCAGTGTGTGCATGGACATGCAAGCACATGACATAAACGCTGGTTGGATCTGAAAGAGAGGTTGACTGTGAGGCAGATGATTTTAAGTAAGAATATATAGCTTTATTTAGCATAAAACGTTCAAACTGGATCATTTTGAACCCTAGAAGTTGCACGTGTTTGAGTACATCCCTTGTATTATAGTTGCTTTTAAAGGATGACACTCTTTTTTGTAAAAGAGAAAACAGAAGAAATGAAAATTAAAGATTAACAAATTAGCATATGCCTTGTTTTTCAATTGTTTATCT